ACTTCATATAAAAAGAGTTGCAGTATTTATAGGATGCAGTCGCTATGCTACTGCATACCTATGACAAATAATGGCTGCCCCTTCATAGGGGATGATAGTTCTCTGGTGCGCTAATTGCATGATGACTGACATGTGGATAAGTAGAACACAGTAGCATAGCAACCGCATCCCAGCGATCACGTTTATTTCGTCTCAATTACTCACATTTTCACTTGGGTCGTTACCAGATCATCATTCAGTTGTTTGCTGAGTCCCCGATCTGGCTCTTCCATTGAGAATTAGATACCAGAACAGGACAACAAATCATAGAATGTGCATGGAAGATTCGGACGGTGTCGTCCCACATCGGGGTGAGGACCGATAAGAAAGCACAGGCAAATAAGCTAATACGTCAATAGAGTGCCAATGTCGCTTGCCTATGATCATCGAATCGTCGATTTATGAAAGTTTGCTAATATTCTGGGGCCGGTAGGCGGTCCCATACTTCTGCGCAGTAAAACTGACGAATGGCAAACGGTAAATAAACGAAGAAAGGTATCGACAAATGCTTCTGCAAATACCAACCATTAGCAAATGAAATCACATGACAACTCGACAAGGTGGATTTACCAGGAATCAGAATAAACGCTTCAGGACAAACAGCACGCGATTGAATTTTCTTAGCGATCAGTGGACAGAAACATAAAAAGCCCATCTGCGCCCTAAAGCGCGCACTAACAATCCCAGAATAACAACATTACGGTGGGCCCTGTACGTTTAAAAAACCACGGAGTTTTTACCCGTTTAGTGAAAGAGTACATCAGCTGTGGTGAGCAAAGTAAAATAGTCCGCTAAAGTCATCCAGAAACAAGAGAAAATAAACACAATCATAAACGTCAGATTCATACCGATAAACCGCCATCATGTTTATCAGGCCACTTCTCAAGAAAGCCCCTTGAAAAAAAAACAGGAGTCGCCAAGATGAACGCGACTAAAAAACCTTATACAGAATAGGCTCACTTAATCGGATTTCGTCATGTACAACACTGAGATAATTCAAACAGAGTATTCGCTTCATATAGAAGTAGGTAGCTTTTCAATACCGACAGAACAGTTTCCTAAATTGAATAGACCGGTTTTTTTTGAGAGCGAAGCATTATCGCAGGAGGAAGAAAGTTATTAAAGCCCTGAACAATCAACAAGTTTGTCAGCATGTGATCGGTACGTTTGCCTCTAAACAATTAAACTGATCCATCGAGAACATTTTCTATGCTGCGCGGCATGCAGTATATAAAAACAGATGACAGAGCCAACACATCACGAAAATACCACGGCAAACGTTCACCAGACGTCAAGCGGATGAAATAAGGGAAACATCAGCACTGTAGGCAAATAGCCCACTTTCTGGGTTCAGAGGCCCACAGAGTAACTACTACATGACCGCGAATTTTCTACCTTTG